ACATGGAAAGAAGCTATAATCATTCCTGTCCCTCAACCTGGCAAGGATGCTTCCATACCAGGGAATTATTGACCAATTTCTCTCACCAGCTATATCTGCAAGTTGATGGAGAAAATGGTAAATTTCAGGTTGACATGGCTGCTAGAAAAAGAAAACGTGCTGACCCCATATCAATATGGGTTTAGAAAACTGAGATCGACCACAGATGCACTTGTGAAGATGGAAACTGCTATACAGAATTCCTTCACACAGCGACGCCATATGTTAGCAGTCTTCTTTGATCTTGAAAAGTCTTATGATACGACTTGGAAGCATGGCATACTCATGAAGCTGTATGACATTGGTTTAAGAGGAGCATTGCCAACCTTCATACAAAGCTTCCTTGCTAACAGGAGGTTTAGAGTGAGGGTAGGAAACAGCTTCTCTAACCTGGAAGATCAGCTGGAAGGGGTCCCACAGGGAAGTGTCTTAAGTGTGACCCTGTTTGCTATTGCTATAAATGACATTGTAAAGGTCGTTCCAAGTGCTGTTTCATGTAGTCTGTATGTGGGTGACTTTACACTATACTGCTCAGGAGGAAGCTTACAGGATGTGCAAGGACACATGCAGACTGCAATAAATCAGGTTGTGCAATGGGCAACATACCATGGCTTCAAATTTTCTCCAAGCAAGACCATGGCTATGCATTTCCACAAACGTGGAAAGTTTCACCCTTCCCTCTATTTAGGAGCAAACCCACTGCATTTTGCCCAACAGATAAAGTACTTGGGTCTAATCTTTGACTCAAAGCTCACATGGGTGCCTCATATTAAACTGCTTAAGGTGAAAGCTACAAAAGACCGCACAACGCTTCTGCGACTTTACCGAGCACTTATTCGTAGTAAACTCGACTATGGATGTGAGGCATATTCATCTGCAACTCCCACTGTTCTTCGGATGTTGGACTCGGTTCATAATGAAGCTCTGAGAATCTGTATAGGGGCTTTCAGGTCTTCACCTGTGGAGTCCCTGTATGCTGAGAGTGGAGAACTACCTCTTTCATTACACTGGGACTACATGATCCTGATTTATTACACGAGACTACAAAGGATTCCGGGATCTCCTACATCCAGATTGGTTTTCAGCCCCTTGAGGAGAGCCATTCCTATGGTAGGAGAATGAGGAATCTTGTGGAAGATCTTAATTTAAATCTCACAAAGGTTCTGGCTGTTGGAACTTCCCAAGTCCCCCCTTGGACTAATCAAGTTGAGCTTGATTTGGTCGGAATTGGGAAAGGGGAGAGATCAGAAGCAGAAGTCAGAGAGATATTTCTTCAAGACACTTCTAAGTACCAGGGATCATATGCAATATATACAGATGGATCGAAATCTGAAAATGGTGTGGGCTTTGCAGCAGTGAGCAGAAGGAAGACTGCATCTAGCAGTCTTTCTCGATCAGCCTCGATTTTCACTGCAGAGTTACATGCCATCCTTGTAGCAGTCAAGATGACTAGAGATCTTACAAACCATTCTCTTGTAATATATTGTGACTCTCGTAGTGCCTTGCAAGCAATCAAGAGCTTAAACTCATCACATCCAGTGGTGAGGGAAGTTCAAGATTGGCTTGCACTGATGTCAGCATGTAAAAAGAAAACTCTGTGTTGGGTGCCAGCACATGTTGGTGTCAGTGGGAATGAGCGAGCTGATCAGAAGGCCAAGGCAGCTGCCGCTCAGCCTTGTGATGCTCGTTTTCCTCTCCCACACACTGACTTGAAACCCAGCATCAGAAGTTGTCTTCGTGATGAATGGAGGGAACAATGGAGGCATACCTCTTGAAATAAGCTACGCGAGATTAGAGATGACCTTGGCAGTTGGGTGACCAGCATCCATCGCAACCGATAAGTGGAAGTTGTATTAACAAGGCTGAGAATTGGGCACACAAGACTGACTCATGGGCCGATGATGGCTAAGAGTGAAGCACGCTGTGAGGGATGCCAAGAGCCATTAACGGTCGCACATATAGTGGAGAGATGTGCAACATTCTCAGACCAAAGACGAAGGAACTTGTCTCCCCCATATGCATTGACAAATGTTTTGGGGAGGATTGTGGCATAGGTCTTATTAGTTTCCTTAGGGAAACTAATATTTTCAATAAAATTTAATTATGCATAATGTTTATGGTTTGGTTTTTAATATAATATTTATTGTTATTTATGACATTTATTGATAATTGTTTAACGTTTTAAATATTTTAATGTTTCAACCTAGCAAGGTGTTCGCCGCTAATGACCTTAGCTGTTGACACGGCAAATGATTTTAAATAATCAATCAATCCAAAGACCTTAGTTTGAGAGGAGGAGTCTCCTCAATAGACCCCTCACTCCTACTTCGTTTCTGTTGGACCAACTCACCAGAATCAGTTTCAGCATTTGATGATTCATTTTTAACAATAATGGCAGAGTGTGTGGTGTTAGAAGTATTGGAGGGTAAGGAATGGCTTTCTCCTTGTTCCTTATTACCAATACTTCTTTTTTAAATCTGTACCTTTTACATAGCTTAGAAGCTTCATGACCTTTGCAGTGGTAACAGCATATTGGACCTGGACAGTTGTCATCTCCTTGATGACCTGTTGTACCACACTTCACACACACTCTTGGTTGTCCATTTTCCTTAAAAACGGCGAGTGTTGGCTCCGTGCCCATAACCTTGGCAGTGGAAACACCGCATAGGGTTTGGTACATATGGCTTGACCTTGAGGTGGTACCATGCCAACTTAACCGATTCAGGAAGGACTAAGGATTCAAAAGGTAGAAGAAGAACTGGTGTCGACTGTTCCAAACCATCAACTTTCTTCTTAAAACATTTTACTGCTACTACATTAAAATTCTTTAGTTCTTCTAACAGTTTCTCCTCAGAATACCTCATCAGGTCTCTGGGAAAGACAATTCCCTTACAATGATTGAGGGTTTTGTGAGGAGAACATGAGACTTGAGCCCCAGGAATGTCGCATATTGTAAGCAGACGGTCACTCTCATCTGGTGATGATACCTCAACTATCAGGCTACAATCTTGCTGTGACACACCTCAACTATCTTCCATGTACTTCAAAAATATCAAGATCCATGATAGATACACCACCGATGGTCTTCACCATTAAGTATTTACTATAAGATACACTTTCATATTTACCAGGTAAGATTTCCTTAACCCATTGGTCGCGGTTTTAAAATTAGTGTATAAAGGCTTATGGCGGTATTACCATATATGGCCCGGATGTCCGTACGGTATTTATTTTACGTTCGGGCGGTGTGGGAGGCCGCGCTCGAGGCAGTTTGACATCGGTGTTCCCTTTCGTTGGAAAACTGGGGAAGCTTGAAAATAACTTTTTTTCCAATATTATAGACTCGTATACGAAGTCTTCAGAACACGTAAGCAGTTTGATAATGTAATAGAAAACGCTCGGGCGGTGTGGGAAGCCGCGCTCGAGGCAGTTTGACATCGGTTTTCCCTTTCGTTGGAAAACGGGAGAAGCTTGAAAACAACTTTTTTTCCAATATTGTAGACTCGTATACGAAGTCTTTAGAACACGTAAGTAGTTTGATAATGTTATAGAAAACGCTCGGGCGGTGTGTGAGGCTGCGCTCGAGGCAGTTTGACATCTGTTTTCCCTTTCGTGTGAAAACTGGGGAAGCTTGAAAACAACTTTTTTTTCCAATATTGTAGACTCGTATACGAAGTCTTTAGAACACGTAAGCAGTTTGATAATGTAATAGAAAACGCTCGGGCGGTGTGGGAAGCCGCGCTCGAGGCAGTTTGACATCGGTTTTCCCCATTCGTTGGAAAACGGGAGAAGCTTGAAAACAACTTTTTTTCCAATATTGTAGACTCGTATACGAAGTCTTTAGAACACGTAAGCAGTTTGATAATGTAATAGAAAACTCTCAGGCGGTGTGTGAGGCTGCGCTCGAGGCAGTTTGACATCTGTTTTCCCTTTCGTGTGAAAACTTGGGAAGCTTGAAAACAACTTTTTTTTCCAATATTGTAGACTCGTATACGAAGTCTTTAGAACACGTAAGCCGTTTGATAATGTAATAGAAAACGCTCAGGCGGTGTGTGAGGCTGCGCTCGAGGCAGTATGACATCTGTTTTCCCTTTCGTGTGAAAATTGGGGAAGCTTGAAAACAACTTTTTTTTCCAATATTGTAGACTCGTATACGAAGTCTTTAGAACACGTAAGCAGTTTGATAATGTAATAGAAAACGCTCGGGCGGTGTGAGAAGCCGCGCTCGAGGCAGTTTGACATCGGATGTTATGGATGTGGTCAATAAAAAAGAGAGTGAAACAAGTACATGTAATTTCATGTAAAAAAATTATATACAATATATACACTACAATATACACTTTATGGTCAATAATGGACCTTGTTATGATAATCTTCAAAACATCCGAAGACGCAAAGCGGCACCCTGCAAACTCTGCACTCTGCTTTAGACATTTTCCTAATGCCATGTGTATAACACACATGGCACCTCTTGTAGCGTTTTCCTTCCGTCTCCACAATTGCATGGGGATTCCTACCCTGTAGGCGGAGTGAGGTGTTCGTGCTGGCAGGCCTTCCTCTGCCACTGTACACGGGCGCCTGGGGTAGGTACTCAGACAAGAGGCCTCTTATTACCTCCTGTCTGAAAATCAACTGCTGGGCGATAGTCCCACCAGCCTGTTTGTACAGAAGGAACGAGTTCATCAGTGCCATGTCAAAAGGTAGAAGAACACCTTTTTATACCATTTTATACTTCTTCTAACCGCAGGGTAAGAAGCTAGCTGGTCTCCCATGTCGACTCCCTTCATACCCTCATTGTAATCAATTACTGCCTGGGGTTTGATGACTTTCTCCCCTTTTTCTATTTACTCTGTCGGTTTCAACCATGGTTGATGTGTGCATGGTTGACAGTATGCAAAGCTGTTTCTTTATCGGCCACTTTATACATAACATACCCGTTGATGTACTCCTCTCCATGTCGTTTAGCCGCATTCTGTTGGAAAATCTGTGGGCATGAACTTGCGGTTAGCTCTTACTGTGCCGCAAGCGTTTGGTCTTACGCCCCTGTAACCAGTGGGAATAGGGTATGGTGAGCTGTACCAATTGTCAACGTACAAGCTGTAACCCTTATCCAACACTTCGGCCGACTCCATAAGGTCGGCTACGGCCTTATGTGACGCTGGAAGAACTCCCCTGTCCTGACCTGTGTAAAATTGAAAATGCAGGTGTATCCACAGGTAGGCCCTGAGGATACACACAGTTATATATCTTCAAGGTCCGAACCGTGCCCTTTTTGTTGGATTATAGTTACAAAACCGAGCCTGCCTCTGAATTTCCACAAACTCTCATCCACTGTTATTGTTTGTGGAGGAACATATGCTTCCTTGAAACTTTGCTGTAGAAGCTCGACGATGCGGCCGAGCTTCCACAGCCTATTGGGTCTGATCTGCCCCATCCTACTGCTAAAGTGGAGGCAAGTGGATATTTGGTCATACCTGTCCCTTGGCATATGTTTGTAAAAAAAAGGGCTGTCGTGGAGTACATCCTTCGACCAGTGCTGGGCTTGGCGGGGCTTTGGCGAGATTCCATCATTATCCTTAGTGAGACCCACACTGCGAGTTCTGGAATGGTGACGGGCGTCCACTTCCTCTCGTGCCCTCGCACAAAACCAGGATTGGACTCAGCGTACCTATAATGGATGGTAAACATTCAGTAGAATTTTATATGACAATGTATTCTGTGAATGTAGATTTTTACATAATTTTTGAAAGAAAGGGGATGGCAACTTACTTGTTGGTCTCTTCCACAATTATTTTCATCGTTTCCTCGGTGAAAAAAACGTTGAGGAATTCATGTGGGGAGTCTGATTGGGTAAGATTTACTTTTAGGCCTGGTGTTGCCGTCAGGCCGAATTTTCTCGGAACATTCTCCCGCTTTCTCCATTTGAAACCGGGGGTCCCTGGAGAATTTCTTACCCTGAGCCTTTGAGCATACTCTGACAGAGGTTCATCAGAATCGATGCTGCTATTATGCAACGGAACATAGTCAAGTCGTCGGTCGGACGATTCCTCTGATGAACTCTGTTCCTCTGCCAAAGTTTGTCTTGAGAGAGGGACATAGTTCTCGAATTCGTCCTCTCCCTCCTCATCTGAGACATCGAAAAAGTTTGAAGTTCCTACAATCAAGTAAGCAATGGATGTAGTGGTCAATAAGAACTCAGTACGATATGTGGCGTGACAAAAAATTATTCCCTTGACTTACCTGGAATGGGTTCCATGGTTGAATGTGTCTACCGAATAGAGATCAGGGTTTTTTATGCAGAATTCTAGCCAATCACCATTCAGCACAATGTGTGGCGTGACATTCCAACCAATCAAGTAATATGGGGTGACTTTGGAACAGGGAATGGGGTAAATGGATACGACGTCACTACAGTGCGGTAAATTTGAGGGGAGAGGAAGGGAGGGAGGGAGAGAAGGAGGGAGGGACATTCCAACCAATCAAGTAATATGGGGTGACTTTGGAACAGGGAATGGGGTAAATGGATATGACGTCACTACAGCGCGGTAAATTTGGATTGAGGAGGACTTTTCTCCTTCTTACCTAGTTTGGGAGCTCGTGAACCATTACGATTCCCATTTTTGCCCTTTGGGAATCTGGTAAGGTTCCAGAGTGACAAAATGTGATGTTCCAGAGGGATTGGTCAGGGATTGCGTATGTCGTCAGGGAGAGAGCAAGTTCTTTTAATTTGTAGTAATCATACAAATTAGAAATCTTCATTTCCTCACCCCCCCACCCACCATGGAGTCCAACGAGGGTAAGCTATAGTTTAGCACAATTTTTGTCTCAACAGCCACAGGGGTAGTAGGAAATATAACTCAGTCACCATTACAGTGCTGATGGTAGTCGCGGGACCATTGCGCTACCGGACTGAACAACGATTGCTTACCTAGCCATATTGACCCCCGATTAACTTGACCGGCCCTGATCTAGCCACCCGTCTAACCAGAATGAGGACCAAAGAGTTGTGTTGCTAGCTGCATGGGCAGCGTGCAGCATCGCTCAACCTCCATGCTCCTTCTCCTGGTAAAACTGATTGCCACGCACGGCGACAACACGTGGGATTGTTTCATCCCTGGGTCAGATGGATGCACCATGGGTGGTGCCATCCCCTCTGCAAGGCTTGGTGCACAAGAGAAGCCATTTTGTCTCATCCCTCACTGGTGACCCCTCCATATGGAGCACTCTGGTCCGGCTCAACCAGATATTGGGACCTTAAGAGCCCCCCCCCATCGCGGCAAGGCGGCTTCCGTAGGGGGTGTATTTGGGTAGTCACCGGTGTCGGTTAGCAAAGTTATTACTAGTTTTATACAGATGTTAGACCATTGTCCGAAGGCAATCATAAGCCTTCAGCAATCTCTAATAACTACTAACTAGTAATGTAACTTTTTCTTTTATTATTTGCAGTAGTGTTTTGTTTCACGCACAAGCCGCTAAATACCACTGACCATCGATGATCCTCCTTGTGTATTTTTCTTATTCCCATATTTGATTCGTCTATTTCGGCAATTTTATCTTTCCACTGGTTGTCACCAAAAATTTAATACATCCCTGCCGAAGGAGGACCAGTCGATGTAGTTTTGGTTACCACATACGTATTATTTCGTCTTTATAAATGATAGGTAAAACATTCACTTTAATAGTTACAAATAACAAAGTTGTTTCTATATGCAGTCACCGTTTTTTATAAACTGTTGTGAAAATTACACCTTTTGGGTTTCTTTTTGCTCACTGTAACGAGTTTCTGACACTTAACATTCCTTAAGTCATGGTAAACTGGTACGGTTCAACTCACACTTTTACACTGCAATGTATCGTTCATACAACGTCACGCCCAGATGATCAAAACAAAATTCGGGATTTCCTCTTACTTGTGATGCTAGGTTATTAATTACTCTAACAATCTACACACGAGTTTTTTTGTGGAACAGCTTTCTTCGTCTTTCACCGAGGCCATGTTTTCACAGAAGTGTTTAATACACCACCGGTCCGTACAGCCACGCCCCTTGCAAATACTACCGTGTCCGGGAAAAAATCACGCCATGTAGTTACATGTTTAACATGCAATAGGAACCACAAAATATATGATGAAATGTATACAATACGGATTTTTTAGCGTACTGAGGGTTGAAATATAAATAAGTGTATCAGTGATGAATATATATAGACACATACCAATGTTTCCACATGCAAATCCGAACGCACGCGCTGTTGGTTGTGTTTGTGTAGTGAAACCTAGATCGTATTTTTTACCTTCGATATTTCCGTTTCCAGAGATGATCGCTCGTTTTACTTACATCTATATAATCGTACTGTTTTGCTCCGCATGCTATTTACAAACTATTTTTTTTTGCTACTCCGAAATCCCTAATATATATATATAATATATATAGATATATATATACATATATATATTAATATACCAAAGTAGATTTCATATGCAATATTTCCCGTCACAGTAAAATTATAATATCATGCGTTACCATTCTGTAGAATTGTTGCCATAAATATCATACTTATCTCTATACAAGCGTCTTATCTCCTCTAATTGAACTCTCCGCCCCACCTCCCTCCTTTCCTTTTGTCTCACAGATAATTCTATCTGGCTATACATACTTAAATATATATATAGATATATATATATATATATATATATAAGCGATGTTTTTTCATATTTATCATGATAAATACACTCAATTGTAACAGCGATACCTAGAGTTAATCATTATATTATACGTAAAGGACAGTCACGTGTTTCAATCTCTAGAGCATCTTAAGATGACCATTTTTATTTTATTTTATTTTTTCTATTAATATAATAATCCATTTTCTTTCCTTCTTCCTATTCCTAGTTAATCTCACGCCTTTTAAGTTAATGCGTTCCGTCATTTTAGAAACTCATAGTTCAACACCATAAATATTGCCCTGAAAACCATAGATTGGTCTATACAAAGTTAAAAACGACCTGATAAGTAGATTGCTCATAATCAGTTCATGTTTCTTCACAGTCTTCCATACACCCTAAGTTAATCGTTTGAAAGTTCAATAAATATAGATAAAAAGAAGCCTTCGCATATAACACACTGGAGAAAAAAATCAATACCCCTTAAACATAAATAGTACTATGTCAAACCGTTGAAAAGTTCGTACCTTACTGAAATAGTAGTGCTAATTCTGTATGAATACATCCCTTGTTATGGCCTGTTTAAACAATCATATAGCTGGAAAAAAACATTTGAATGTAATAGTTGGTAAAATCAGCGTATGGTATACCAGCCGATGTACACATATTGTATAAATCACATCTATTTTTTCCAAGATTATTTTCCCTCTATGTCCTCTACTTCTTCATTCCGAGTAATTGTAATTTGTAAGTAATTTCGATGTCATTCAGTTGTATGAATTTAAATATTGATTTTTTTTTAGTGTCAGCCACTATTCAGTGAAGCATCTAGAACTGATTAAGAAAACATTGGGAAATAATTTTAAGAACTCTCTAAGCTATAAAAACAATGATAAGATTAATAATGATAATCGATTATGAAATGAATCTGGATTAATGCGCCTTTCATACTACCTCCGACACCTACCGCGTGAATGATTTGGTTTGATAAATTTATAATTCTGTAGGACGAAAATACAGTTTTACAAAGATAAAAGGTGTCTCGTAGGACGGTACAAGACCCACACACCACACAGGTTGACGTTGGAGATGCCGGGGATCGAACCCTGGGCCTCTCAC